TTATTTTTTTTTTTGAGGAAACTTCTGTTCATTTCTTCTCCCCATTTTTTTGATGGGGCTGGAGGTTTTTTCTTGTACAATTCTACTAGTGTCTTATATATCCTGGATAGTAATCCCTTATCAATGGGTATTGGGTAAATATTCTTTCCCACTCTGTGGGCTATTTCTGTATTTTGGTCATTGTTTCTTTTGAAGTACAGAAACGTCTTAGTTTTATGTAGTCCCATTTGTTTATGTTTGCTTCCACTTGCACTGACAGTGCCGTTTCATCCTTAAATATGCTTTTAGCTTCAATATCATGGAGACTTCTGCCTACATTTTCCTCTGTGCACCTTGATCTTTAATGCACTTCGATCGGGATGGGAGATATGTGCTGAAAGTATATGATGGACCAAAAATGATGACCTCTCAGTGTCTGTATTACAAACCATAATGCCCAAAAGTAGAGAGAGAGTATGGGGAATATTGTCTGCCATGGAGACAGGAGGAGGGTGGGAAAGGAGGGAGGTATACCAGAGATATTAGTCGTGGGGAATGTGCACTGGTGGAGGGATGGGTATTTGATCATTGTGTGATGATAACCCAAACATGAAAGCTTGTACCTATCTAATGGTGATTCAGTAAAATTTTAAAAAAATAACCTAGAGCCAAATATAATGTCAAATGATATTAAATTAATTTAATAAATTTAAGAGAGCATTGGGCTGGAGTAATAGCACAGTGGGTAGGGGTTTTGCCTTGCATACAGCCGACTTGGCCAACCTGAGTTCGATTCCTCCGCCCCTCTCAGAGAGCCTGGCAAGCTACCGAGAGTATCTCGCCCGCACGGCAAAGCCTGACAAGCTACCCGTGACGTATTTGATATGCCAAGCACTGTAACAACAATTCTCACAATGGAGAAGTTACTCGGCCCGCTTGAGCAAATCGATGAGCAATGGGAAGACAGTACTAAGAAAGCCATTACAAAACAAAACAAAACAAAACAAAACAAAAAACCTACAATGGACATACAGAGGGAGCAAAGAAGGAGAGCAATCTGAAAGAGGTGAGAAAGAGAAACAGAAGTCAAATCTTGAAACACTCTGAAGCTATAACTAAGAGTGAATTTTATTCTGAGGATGACAACGAGTTACTAGTGCGTTTTATGCGATTCATACATAATGAAAAGGGAGATGGGTATAAGGGCAGTTAAGAATGAAGATTTGCTGGGAAAAAAGAGAGTCTACTCATTGTTTCTATTTCCCCAACGAAATGTGAAGTGAGGGGATTAAAGGAATGGGAGAATTAGGACTGGGACTTGGAGGATTGAGAAAACAGCAGTCAAGAACTATTGTAAAGATTTGTCTCAACAGTCTAAGTGTTAGGTAAGTGACAGGGAGTGCGAAGCACAGCAGGGGATCCATTTGAAAATTGAAGATATAAATCTAAAGTGAAGCAGTTTAGGACGGCTCTGTGTTTTCCATCCAACTTCACTGAGACCCAAAATGGGTTGAAAACTAAGTGATGGTCAGAGTGATGCCAGATAAGTTTGACAAAGACAGATGAGTAGAGGAGAGATTAGCCACGGCATCTAAGCTGGATAAGGAGGAAGTGAGGGCATGGGAGGAATGATGAATGGTGCCTTGAAGTAGCAGGTCAATATAGTAGAGGTACCACTGTCACTGTCACTGTCTTCCCATTGCTCATTGATTTGCTCAAGCGGGCCCAGTAATGTCTTCATTGAGATACTTGTTACTGTGTTTGGCATATCGGATATGTCACAGGGAGCTTGCCAGGCACCAAGGAATCAAAAATATCTATTGGACAAAGAATACTCGATTGCATAAGGAGGCATTCCCAGAAAAACAGAAGGTGGTGGCTGGAGAGAGATGCTTTGAATCACATTGTTTTCTTTTTTCATTTTGGTTGGGGGCCACAGTCACCAGTGCTCAGTGCTTACTCCTGCTTTGTGCTCAGGGCTCACTCCTGGTGGGCTCAGAAAGCCATACAGGGCACCAGGCGTCAAACTCGTGTCAACTGCTTGCAAGGCAAGTGTGCCTACCATACTATTGCTCTTTCCCCTGAAACACATTTTGAAGGTTAGTGCACTGTTTGCATAGGCACAGTGGCACTTGGGTTAAAAAAAAACTCTGCATTGTGTAAAACTGTCTCAAGGTACTGAATGAATGGCATTCAACATTCTTACCTCCTGCCCTCCAAAAGTCAGTTGCACTCTTTACACTTTCAAATATTCTCACAGACTAATACAACCCAGATTGAGTCACTGGCTTGAGGGATGATTGGAGAGTACAGAGACATTTTTGCTAATAAGAAACTCAAAGAATTGAGAGGCCAGATGAGCTTTCTATGTGGATGGTTTTACTAATAATAGCACTGTAGATGGTCCTCCCATTGTTCATCAATTTGCTCAAGCGGGCCCAGTAACGTCTCCATTGGGAGATTTGTTTTTACCGTGTTTGGCATATTGAGTACGTCACGGGGAGCTTGTCAGGCTTTGCCATGCAGGCGAGATACTTGGTAGCTTGCCGGGCTCTCTGAGAGGGGCAGAGGAATTGAATCGTGGATATTAGTAATGCACATAAATATGGGGGTGGAGGGCTAGGGAATAAAATCTTCAATAAATGTTGACATATTTAGACAATAGGATAGTAGAAATAGGATAATCTGATAGTATATAATTTTAACGCTTCTGCAGAAGAGGAGGAAAGAAGAGGATGAAAGAAGTCACTCTCCAGCCACTGAGATGAAAACAGCCATCACCTGATAGGGGAAACAATAGCCTTAGAAAATTGCCAAGAGTATCAGTTGAGCTTCTACGTCCTCTAATAACATAGAGTCCTATAGATCTTGTGCCTATGGAGTCCCTGAAATCAGGCTAGTATATCTGAAAAACTGTTGTTTTTTTAAAATATGTTTTTATTGATCAAGGCTCTGTGGTTTACAATACAGTTAATACTCATCTGTTAATGATGGTTTTATGTGCACATAACTCCAAAATAACACACCCATGACTACTATTCTCAAGTACCCCAGTTACTCTCCATGTCAACTACGTTTTTCAAACACAGTTGTATGAATTAGTTCTGTTGTATTGTCACTGACCCTTTTTTGCTAGCTTACTGTGTATCTAAATTCCACACGAGAGAAATCATTCTGTATCTATCCCTTTCCATCTAACTGACTTCACTTCGCTGACCACATCTGGTTCCATCCATGTTTCAGCAAAATTATTTTATTCTTTTTTAAAAGTGCATAGTATTCCATTATGTATATAGACCACAATTCTTGGTCCATTCTTCCATAATTAAGCATTTGGGTTGTGTCCATATCTTGACTATTGCACTCAGTGCTGCACTGAACATATGTTTGCATATATCGTTTTGAATTAATTTTTCTCTGTTTGGGGGATAGATGCCAAGAAGTGGTATTTCTAGGTTGTATGGTATCTCAAATCCTATATTTTGGAAAGATCTCCATATTACTTTCCACAGAAAATGAACCATAGTGGGTGAGGATTATTTTTTTCCCCACATCCCTGCTGGAGCAATAGCACAGTGGGTAGTGCATTTGTCTTGCATGTGGCCAATCTGGGTTCGATTCCTCCGCCCCTCTCGAGAAAATAGATTAACAATGGGAGGACAGTGCTACAGTGCTATCCCTGCCAACATTGGCTATTTTCACGCTTCCTGGTATACACCATTCTCTCTAGCATGAGATGATATCTCACTGTTGGTTTTATTTCCAAATGCTTATTGGGCATCCATGTGGCGTTTGGGGAAATGTTCTGTTCATCTCCACTGAAAAGTGCTTGGATATTTTGAGATCTATAGAATGCTCTAGATCTTGAATATCAGAACTCTATCTGTTGCTCTTTTTAGTATAGCTTCAATTTCTTTTGATGTGCAGAAGTTTTTAATTTGATGTAGTTTCATTTATTTTTATTTTTGTCATCTCTGCCTCATAGTTATCCCACTGAAGACATTCCTGCAGTAAATGTCCTGGAAATTTCTGCCTATATTTTCTTCAATATGTTTTCGGAATTTTGTTCTAATCTTGAGGTATTTAATCCACTTTAAGTTTACTTTTGTGAAATATGGTCTCTTCTCCCACCCCTCCTCTTTGCAGTATCAGTTTATTATTCTGTTTTTAATATATCAGGATTTGTTTCCACTAAAGACTGTCTATTTCCCTTCTTTGTTTCATCATACTCAGCAAATGAATGAGATCATCTCATATTTGTCTTTTTCCTCCTCATTCTACTTAGCTCATGACACACATGCACAGGAAAATTTTAATCTCGGGGTAATGAGGGAAAGAGAAAGGGTAGGTGTGAATCCAGATAAATTTTAAGATCTGAAGAAGGAAAGTTAAAGAAATGATACTCAAAAGCACCAGCATTTCCAATAAGCAGGATGTCAAACTTCGATTTTATTTCTTTTTCCTCATCCAATATCAAATTCTGCGGTATATTGTTATGGGACACTTGAGAAATTTTTCTTCAGTAATCTAAGATGTCACCTCTGTAAATGAACTATTCCTTTTTATTAGAAGCACCTGGTGTAAAAGGATTATGAATATTGCCTGATTTTCTGGTGCCTAAGACTGCACCAGTCAGCCTAAAGGCTGACTCTGACTCAATGAAGGAAAGGAAAAAGAAATGGAAATTCTCTTCTCTCAATAGATGTTGTTTGGAACTCATATTTCTTGGGTTTTGTGTGTTTCTATTTAATTTAGAAAATAAATTAGTTGTTATCCAAATTGGAATAAAAATATCATGATATGCTCTTGCCATAAGATAAAACATGTGTAATGCATGCTTTAGAAATAGAAAAACAAAACTCATGCATCCCTCAATCTGCCTCACCATACAGACTTCTAGAATGGTCTCATAGGTGCTTAGAGACTCTTTCGCAAAATTGCCAGCAAAACTCTTATCAGCCAATTTGTTGTCTCATCAACCAACTTGGCATTGACAAATTCGGGGATCCCGAATCACTCACCCAGTGAAGAATCTCAGCTTCAGGCAAGGAGACTAGAAGAGTCCCGTTATCAGGACACTGCTTCTTGACACCACCTTTGATCAGAATAAAAGAACAGTGACATGTTTTCGATTAGTTCCTATAATTTTTTTCAAATTCCATATAACTATAATTAAAGTATCAAAATATTCTGATCTTATTACAGACAGAGAGGGAAGATGTTGTCCATGGTTTAATAGATCACAAAATATGCCATTGAGTTAAATGTCTCTGTGGGCCTGATCAATATAGCTGGTCAATTCCCTAGTGTACAAAGATCCATTTCTCTTGAATCTGAAAGAGTCTCAGGCAGAAACTTCCCTTTTGGTCCTCAGATAGGAGCCTTAGTGATAGTACACTGGATAGGGTAGCCCAGATTCCATCCACAGTATTCAATATGGTCCCCTGAGCTACATCAGGAGTGATCCCTAAGTGTAGAGCCAGGAGTAATACCTGAGCACCACTATCCCCAAAACCACTGTAGCACTGTAGCACTGTCCTCCCGTTCATCAATTTGCTTGAGCAGGCCCAGTAACGTCTCCATTGTGAGACTCAAAACCAACATAATAATAATAACAACAACAGGAAGTTTCCATTATTATTTTCATATTTTATGGACTAATCTGACCCTAAGGAGGCTGTTTACATGAACTATACTTCCAATTTCTAGGGGGTTGTCATAATCAGGCAAAGAGAAAGAAATTAAGAGTTCATAGATATCCACAGCATTGATGAATTGATGAATTTAGTTCTGTCAAATGTCCAGTCCTAGATACATTTTGGCCTCAGGAGACATATTTATAATTAATTAATTTCTTAGTTCTTAGTAGTTGACCTAGGGTTGAAACTAATTACTCTCGCTTTCCTCTTTGTTTTCCCCCAATGTGATTTAATCATCATGGAAGCCAAAATGTAACCTGATGCTAGAACATTAATGCCAGTTAACTATACTGTTCTCCAACCATGACCAAAGAAGTAATATTTAAACTTATTAAAACTGGATCAGGAATTCTCAAAGGAGAATAAGTAAACAGAATGCTCCACCTTAGCCTCTAGGCAAAACCTATTTGTGACAATCAAGAGCAGGAAAAAGCTACTCAAGTATTCCTATTGCCTATTCTTTCTGTGGAACACAGAAAGAATAGGCAATAGAGCGATAGCACAGCACATGGCCGACCCAAATTCGATCCCTCCCTACCTCTTGGAGACCCTGGCAAGCTACCGAGAGTATTCCACCTGCACGGTAGAGCATGGCAAGTTCCCCGTGGCATACTCGATATGCCAAAAATAGTAACAAAACTCACAATGGAGACATTACTGGTGCCCGCTCCAGCAAATCGATGAACAAGAGAAGGAAGAATAGTGCTACAGGACAATGCTATTATTTCTGTGCACAAGCCCCCTCTTGTGGAAGAACTAATAGGAAGTAAAACAGTTATAATAGCAATGACTAAATTTAAAAAATAATAAGGAAAAGTTGATCTGCAATAAGAACAGAATTGTATAATTGAAAGTCAAATGCAGTGGTTAACAAATAGGAACTGCAACTGGAAAACTACTTGCAGATAAAGTAGAACGATGAATGATTTACTAAAAGGTCAAACTGCTCTTTTATCTTCACTACCCATCAGTTGTCATCACCTTCAATTTTTCTGCCACACAACAGAAAGCAGATCATAAAATATTCACCAAAAAAATTAACTTTAATTTGCAAATCAAAAAAGAAACGTAGTCTTATATAACTGAACCATATGGGCAAACTCCTCAATTAGTATTCCTCAGATATATTAGAAAAAGTATTGACATTTAAGACTCTAGGAGAGATAAGGTACTCAGCAAGTACCAGAACTGTGCTCTATGATTAGCTCCGCTGATCCACTACTATTTCTCAAACAAGAGAAGATTCAATGAATTCCCCCACCCAAAGACCACTTACAATAAAGGGCAAAGTAAGAAGAGGGTGGTATTTGAGTGTCCTGGAAGCCAAACAACTCTGTTGTCTATGCTCATTCCTGGTCTGGATGAGAGACTGTCAGGCTCAACATACCTTCCATACACTGACGGATGAGCTGTGAGATGAATTACTAACACACTTCTTTTTGGTAGCATTTGTAGGAAAATAATGTCAGAAGAAAATATATTTTTAGGCAGGAGTGATTCTGAAAATCAACATATCTACTAATCTACATATTGCCTTCACTGGACCTGAAGAAAAATCATTAAGTCATTTTAATAGAACCAATGATTCCATTAAAAAAGATTGAGCCAGTAATTCCATGTCTTAGAATCTACCCAAAAGTCCCCAAAACCATACTCAGAAAAGACAATTTCACCCTATATTCATTCAGCACAACACTATTCACAATAGCCCAAATCTAGAAACAATCCAAGTTCACTGGGTGGACAGAATGAGTGGGGAACAGTCTGGGAGATTATCATGTCGGAATATTACATGTATGAATCCTAATCATTAAAGTATTGAAAATCACTTGATCATTTGATCACTTGACTTCTCGTTAATTGTCAATTTGCTTGAGTGGACGCCAGTAACGTCTCCATGTGTCCCTGTCGCATGCTAGTGTAGCCCAAAGGCGTCTGTTAGCTCCAGGAACACGAAGAGCCTCAAACCGATAGATCGTTCATGATCTTGATGAAGAAGTCTGATCATTTGGTAGGTGGGTGGTCACGTGGTCTTTTGACATCCTGTGGAATCCAGTCGGTAACAGCTCTAGTCCAGCGTTCGTCTCTAAATCTCATTATGTGACCAGCCCATCTGATTTTTGACACCTTGGCAAACGAGACAGCGTCCCTGATTCTTGATCATAAATGGAGGTCGGAACTCCGCATTGTTTCTCTTTTTTGAGTGAAACGTGATATTCCAAGCATAGCTCTTTCTATTCTTCTTTGGGAGACCTGAATAGCGTTCTCATCCTGTTTGCGTAGGGCCCAGGTCTCTGAGGCATATGTTAATGCAGGAAGAACAGTGGAATCAAAGAGATGTGTCTGGAGCCGGAGGTTCCTCATCCTCTTAGCTATTTCTTCAATGCTCTTGAAGGTGTTCCAAGCCGCTCTCTTCCTCCTGTGCAGCTCGGGTGCCAGGTCATTTGTCATGTTGACTTCTCGACCTAGGTACACATAGCTATTGCATTTGGAGATGGTCGTTCCATTGAGCGCAAATGGGGTGTCAGGAACAAGGCTGTTTCTCATAAACATTGTCTTCGTAAGATTCAGCTATAGTCCAACCTTTCCACACTCACGGTTGAAGTTGGCCAGCAGTTGTGCTGCATGGCTAATGTTTAGTGTTATTAAAACAATGTCATCAACAAAGCGGAGGTGGTGTAGTTGCTGACCATCTATCTTCATGCCCATTCGTTCCCATTCCAGTCGTCACATGACGTTCTCGAGGGTGGCACTGAAGAGTTTCGGTGAAATGGTATCACCCTGCCGAATCCCTCTCTTGACATCAATGATTACTTCTTTGTAGAATGGTGAGATCCTGGTAATGAATCTGTAATACAGCTCATGAAAGATCTTGATGTATTGAGTTTGAATGCCCTGATTGGCTAGGGCTTCAATGACCGCTTCTGTCTCAACAGAATCAAAGTCCTTCTTTAAATCAATGAACGTTAGACAGGGTGGCATCTTGAATTCCCGAGAAATCTCAATGAGCTTGGTTATCATGTGGATATGGTCAATGGTGCTGAATCCTTTGCGGAACCCAGCTTGCTCACATGGTTGTCCTTCATCTAGTGTTCTGCCAATCCTATTCAGGATGACTTAAGTGAACAACTTGTAGATGACAGACAATAGGCAGATCGGGTGATAGTTGCCAATGTCATGGATGTCTCCCTTCTTGTACAGTAGTACAGTCCTGCTGGTTTTCCACTGGGACGGAACCTTGCATTCAGACAGGTAGCATGTGAAGAGCTGAGCCAGCGTATTGATGAGTACTGATGGCAGGTTCTTCAGGTGTTCAGTTCTGACCTTGTCTGGGCCGGGTGCTGTTCATTTTTTTACTGACAAAATGGCATGTCAGATTTCGGAAGGGAGAACGTTGGGAACGACATATCCATCCTGTGGAATTTGGTATGTTGGCAGGTGGACATGGCTATCGAAGAGATTTGAATAGAAGTCATGGATAATCTTCTCCACTGCCATTCTGGAAGATGTGATATATCAGGACGTCGGAGGGCAGTCATCTTGGTCTTGTAGTTGGCGAAGGACAGGCGGGTGTTACAAATACTTTTCCCAGCTTCTGCCACATCTACCCGACTTCTGCTCTTCTCTCTTTGAGGTCTTCCTTGATCGCATCTCTGCACTGCTTTGCAAGCTCAGAAGTTCGCTTGCGGTTGGCTGAGGCATGTGCCAAACTATGTTGGCAAATAAGCTCAAGAGTTTTTGAAGACAGGCATTTTTAGATTGAAAATTATGATAGATAAAATAAGATACAATTTTTTAAAGAAAAATACAACACTTCCCTCCTCTCTATCCCAAAATGACCAAAAACGAGAAGCTGTAAGAAATTTTCTGCATAGTGAGTTGTATTTTTATTTATTCATTTATTTATTTTTTTGTCTTGACTAGGAGAAAAGAAAGCATTTTACAGGTCTGTTTTTGTGTTTCTCTGCATACTGTGCAGAATCAACTGGTCATTCCATGGCCTTAAGATTGCAATCTAACAGGCTAGAGCAATAGCAGAGTGGGTAGGGTGTTTGCCTTGCATGCAGCTGTCCCAGGTTTGATTCCCAGCATCCCATATGGTCCCCTGAGCACCACTAGGGGTGATTCCTGAGTGCAGAATCAGGAGTAACCCCTGTGCTTCGCGGGGTTTGACCCAAAAAGAAAAAAAATTGTGATCTAAACCTATTATGATAATGTATGTATGGACAGGGGTGGGGGTGGGGGAAAAACAGTGCAACTTGCTATGAAATCTTGACTTACTCATTCGTTTTTAACCATTTGTTGGTTTGGATGTCTGTGTAGACATTATCAAGGAATAGTCCCTAGAATTTTATAGGATTTTATGGAAAATGAGTTAAGAACTAAGATGGTAAGG